TTGAAAAGCTGAGAGGGGTGGTGGGCGGCTACAGGGGGAAATGAGACGGAGGCTCTGGAGGCAGCGGGGGACTGTCAGTCTGGCTTTGCCCGCCCTGGGTGTGCAGTAGCTGGGATAAAGGAGCTGGCAGGACAGCCTCTGCTGCAGAGCTGGGCTGAGTGGATCAGAGTGGAGGCGGGCGACTCCCAGGGCCCAGCTTTACAACTCTGGCCAAACGGAGGACTATGAGAATGTGGAGGAGCTGAAGCAGCTCTGCTGGAGGCCCTCTTCACTCATGGGAAAGGACGTCTGGTCTTCACAACCAGGATTCAGAACCCGTAGGCTGCTGAGAACAGCGTGTTCAAGCCAAGAAGGAGTATCTGACAGAGAGAAGGCAAAAACATAGTGTATTGGTAGCCATCCAAACCCTCTGCCCCGTATGAACAGTCCAGCCACTATTGATCAGTGTGGCGGTAGATGATGAAGTGTGTGAACACACAGTTGGGGTGGTCCGTGACCTTTGGATCTGTTGCTATGACATGCAGAGTTGCTAATAACACTCATACACACACACACACAGACACACACCTTGACCTCTGCAGTAAGCCGTGCCACAAGTCCACGCCTCTTTCTTTCGCTCTGCCATCACCCAGCAGCAACTCCTTTGAAGCTTGGCGGAGGAGTTTTGCTCAGCTGTTTGTTAGCGTGAAGCCTGAATGAGACATAAAGGAAAGAAGCTGCTGTGATGATCAAGATAACATTAGATAACATTTCAACCGCCAATCTCCTGACATTCAATAGTAGCCAAGATTTTCGAAACGTGAAAACAAAATTTGAGTAAAAAAATAGCACATTTCTGTTGAGTACTTAACACACCATGTTTAAAGATTTAATACAAAAGGGTCCGCTCCTAGTGACATGAGATCCAGAGGATTTTGGCCTTACGAGCTCCAGAAAGTTCACTCAGTCTCCCCTTCCTGACCTCCTTTCATCCCTCCATCCCTCCGCCTTTCTTCTTTTTAATACAAATCAGCCACTCAATGCCATGCACATGTTTTAGTGTTATTTGAACTCTGGCAGAGAACTTCAAACAGCTTTCAGGGTGAACAGAGTTTTTTCCTCTCCTGCTCTCTATCTTTTTCTCTTTTTGAAAGAACACAGCCGCGCTTCCAAGTACACCTGATCAGAAGGTCGAGAGATGGGGATTATGATATGCAAATGTGGCTTTGTTATCAGCGTTGACATTCGTTATAAAGCTGAACAGAGGAGAGGTAAGATGAAAAGGTGGCAACTCACCTCCCTCTACCCCTTTTAGCATAACCTCCCCTCTCAAACACATTGGCCTACCTAAGCCCCCTTTTTTTTTTCTCATTTAGATCAAAAGGTTACACACAACAAAGAAAGGCCTGTGTGGAAAAGAAAAAGCACCCTGTGCACACTTCTGTGTACTTTTACACAGTCAAGACTATTGATTGGTCAGCTGCCCCAAAGGTGTGTGCACATCTGTACAATATCTGTGTGTGTGTGTGTGTGTGTGTGTGTGTGTGTGTGTGTGTGTGTGTGTGTGTGTGTGTGTGTGTGTGTGTGTGTGTGTGTGTGTGGATTCGACCGTGTCCTGATGAGGTTGTCTCTTATGCTGTTTAGGCAGAACGGAGGTCTTTGCAATTACCAAACACTGTAGAAAGGCTTTCATGTCTCTCCCCTACTGTGACAGGATAAGGACCAGGACACACAAGTACACACACATGCACACACACACACACACACACACACACACACGCACACACATATTCACTGAGAGATCGAGTCCTTTCAAACACACACGGAAACATGCATATGGTTGCCCCCCTGTTCAATCTCCATACGGTTCAGTTCAAAGGGGTCTAAGCGAGGTGGTGGTCGGGGCTACTTTTCCGGCTATTAGCCTGGCCCACCATCTGCAGTGATATAGTGAGGAGTGGGTTTTATGAACTTCATAAAGGGATGGTTATTAGAGCATCAGAGTGGAGATGGACTGTCTGGCCTTTGAGTTTAGCAGCAGGGGTCCTGAGTGCTTTGATGTGAATCTAACTGTTAAATAACTTTTGAGAGGTAGAGGGCGCTACTGAAACCTTACAAAAGACCAAGCCCCCGTTATATAAGTGATAATTGACCCAGTTTTTTTTTATTAATTTATTTTTTTTACACCTCGAGTAAACGTCAGCGACAAAAACACATGAATAAAGATGTACCCATTATGTAGACATCCCCGGGTACACTGTGAAACTGTACTCCTCATCCCTGACAAGAAGCAACATACAGCTAATATACTTCTAAACATTTCATCAAAGCGTCACTCTTTCTTTCACAGATTAAAAAAAAATAAACACGTGACATGACAGTTGCAAAAATGATCCATTTAGCAGGTGTTCTGGGGCTTTCAATCATACCACATGACCTTCATCAGCAGATGGGATTTGCCCCACTGTCACATTTGAATTTTTTTTCTGAGCCCTCTAAAGACTCGAAGGCTTGAAGGCTGAGTTCAAAGTTCACTCTTGACCTTGAAGGAAGCACGTACGAAAACAGCCTTCCCACGAGGTCCATTTAATAGCTGTCCCGGAGTGTTTGATCATATGACATGATCTTCATCAACAGATGGAGTTTGTCCAGTTGTCATGAAACTAAAAAAAAAAAAGTTCTTAACTGCAGTTTCCAATGTCAACACTGACCTTTGAAATTCAACCCAACATGATGCCTTAATAATGCATGGTTCAGTCCAATGTCCAGTTTGATCTTTGGTTATTAATTTTCTCCATCTGTCACTGTTACCATTGGAGGCAGGGATTCAGAAAGGTGTTTTGGATAATGAAAGAAGAAACGTTGGTTTTGATTATACATTTTAAATGTGGCACAACCCCGTAGCTTTAAGGGTAAGACACTAACTACGCCTCTGGTTCAAGTCTGATTAGGGACCATTGTTGCATCTACTGTATCTCTCCTCCATTTCCTGTCATCTCTTTTCTACTGTCTGTAATAAAAGATAAAAATGCCCAAAAAATAGTTTTGTTTTTTTTTAAATTTGGGATGACATCGTGCCCTTTAAGTAAGTGAGGAGTGAATATACGTTTTATTTTCACAGCAGGGACGGTGTGGGAAGATGCTGGACATCAGGAAAACATCCTGCTTACATCATGAAGCATCAGTCAAGAAATATATGTGTTCCTTGTCTTTTGAAGTGTCACTGGAATCACTTTATATCCTTTAAATGCAGAAAGAAAACCCTTATTGATATTCCCTCTCCCTTTCGATGGTTTATAAATAATTTCTAAAACATAACTCACTATGGCCTGAAGGTGGTGCTGCTAATCCACATACCAGCTACCAATTTCCTCTGCTAGAAAGCCGCAGTGACAACTAAATCATACTAGAAAAAGAGTAGGGTTTCATAGTACTACCGTTAATATAAAGATTTAGATATAGTTCACTTTGCAGCCATATCTGCTTTAAATTAGATTAAATAATTTGACAAATGACTATGATAAAAGTACCATGAACAATAAACTTGAATGTGTCTAACAGGGAACATCCTTTATGAATAGAATACATTTTATTTACATTAATTTAAACCTTTAAAGGTGTATACTTGATTGATCTATGGTGAAATAGGTTTACAGCCTTTACAGGTCCTTTAAAAGTACAATACAACACTGTGAAAATACTCAAGTAAAATTCCTGCACTTAGATCAAGATGTTTGTAGTGTCACTGTCCAATGAAAAGCATGTATCTTAAACAGCCCTGTTTTCAGCTTTTTGATCATTTCCAGAGAAGTCAAGAGGGGTTTTAAGAAGTAGGGTATTTTTCTAAAGCCATAATTTCCTAAAAAAATAAATTTAAAAAAATCACCAAATTTTGAGTTACAATGTTTTCAGTGGACAGGAAGAGTATGAAGGATTGAAGAGTAACTAGTAACTTCAGCTGTCAGACAAATGTAGTGGAGTAAAAACAAAAAGATGTTGTGGAATATAATGTATAAATGAAGATCTTTCATAGGTTTAACACATTCACTGGAACAAGAAATGGATGATGATTCAAGGAGAAGTCTTTTGTTAACATACACAGATCAGCCATAACATAATGAGCACTGACAGGTTAAGTGAGTAACACTGATTATCTGGTTATCATGGCTCCTGTCAGTGGGTGGGATAGATTAGTCAGCAAGCGTTTTGTCCTCAAAGTTGATGTGTTAGAAGCAGGAAAAATGGGCAGCGTGAGGATTTGAGCGACTTTGACAAGGGCCACATTGTGATGGCTAGACGACTGAGTCAGAGCATCTCCAAACCTGCAGCTCTTGTGGGATGTTCCCAGTCTGCAGTGGTCACTACCTATCAAAATAGGTCCAAGGAAGGAAAAGAGGTTAACCGGAGACTGTGTCATGGACCAAGGCTTATTGAATTGTATATCATCATAACCCAACAATGTTATTTAATCATGAAAGTAGAAAATAAATACCATTGCAGTAAAACAGACTTTAAAGGTTGATAATACCTGCTCATCAACACAGCCCTATAATAAGATGCTCTAATATGAGTAACTGTCATTATTGATGACTACTCATCTGTGTTTTAGGGTGCTGATAACTTTATGGGGGGGACGCAAGGTGGTTTGAGTGAAGATTAAAAAGAAAATAAATTCCTAATTTCCAGTCAGAACATAAAAGTTGTCTATGTGAGACTTATTGTAGTCCACTAGATGGATCCCTTCACCACTCAGACGGGACTTGTGCTCACACAAGCTGCTGCTGATCGCCTCGGAGGCATCGATCAACATCGCTACAACAGTCAAAGCGTAGGATCTGTAAAGCATATTTTACAGGTGGTATCGGGGTGAGAGGGAGGAGATGCGGCTATGCACAGACCCCCCCTGAGGAGATGCAAGACTCACGTGGACAGTTTCCCCCTGACGTAATCACGTCAGCCCGGTAGGTGGCAGCCTGTGCAAGCGAATATAATCAGATTAAACGAGCCCAAATTCGGATGGTTTCAGCCAGCAACCAGAAACACAGAGGACCTGGTGGATCAGATCCAGGGGTAGATTGTTGTTACTTTATAGGGTTTTTATTTTAATAAAAAAAACATGGCGTTATCTAGAAATAGAATACACATTCATTTAATTAGTCAGCTATTGTGTTTGCACCACCAGCTGATCGCTTGCCTGGTTCCTAGCCTTTATTAAAGGGCTGTTGGTGCTGTTTTGTGGAGGGGGGACCCTCGTCTTACAGGCATACTGCAACGCTGTGACGCAATTCACACTCTCCTGCTGCAACACAATAAAATATGAATCACCACACAGCCGACGGAGGGATCTTTAGGTGTAAATACCATTTAAATTGTGAGGAGGGGGTGTGGCGCTGACCATCTCCCATTCACTTAAAAAAAAAAAAAAAAAAAAATAATACACGCCCAGAGAGCTCGTGCATTCGGTGCTGGGGGATCGGGTTTGATCGCGGTGGCGCTGTCTGCTGTCGGACTGTCTCTGAGCTCACAGGCCAGCCAGCCCATCGGCAGCCCGCCGTGCCTCCGTCCCTCCTCAGGCTCCGGAGGCTGCGAATCAAACCGCGCTCCACGGAAGGAAGGGATCCTGATCGCCGCAGATTCAAAGCCTGGATGCAGAGCGAACCAGTGGCCTGCACATGAAGATGCGATAACTAAGGTGAGATTAAAGGTGCGTTTGCTTTATTTATTTATTTATTTACTTATTTGTAGATCGGTTTGCTTTCCAGTATCAGCTGTTCGGTCTATGGATGTCTTACAGCCTGGTTCACACAGACATAAAACCAGCGCAGAGCTAAAGATGTGAGGAGGACAAAGGGGCGGATGGGGGTAGAGGAGCAGCAGCTTTAAATATGTCCTATTATTATTATGAGTGTTAAAGGAATAAAGAGGCATGGACAGAAATGTTATCATCTTTTTGCAGCAACCACATTAAATAAAGCTGTCAGGCTGCTACAGTATAGCCCAGCGTATACTACTGTGGTGTACTTCCTTATTAAAACACATTTCTGTGGCTGCTTTAGATTTAAAAACCTCGTAGTGTTTGGGTCATGTTGCCTATTACACCTGCTGCCATGTGAGATGGGTTTATTCTAGGAGGTGGCATTACTGTCCATGTAGCCCGCTGTGAACTATGCAGGTCTACACTCAACCCTGTCCTCTTGGCACCCCCTTTTCTTGTAGCAGGCCCACAGCATCACAGCCAAACAAGACATTGATCACTCAGACTTTCATCTCTGTGTCACCTAATTACACCCAAATCCCCTCTTTATTCCAGGGATAGATCACTGTAGACCAGTGTGCCGTTGCTTATCAGATCATTTAGAGGGAGTTTCTTTCCCGGTGTCCTCGAGTGAACTGGTATTTAAAAGAGCTGTAAGCTGTAAGGTGGCTTTTAATACCTGTGTGTGTGTGTGTGTGTGTGTGTGTGTGTGTGTGATACAAATATGTTTGAAAAATGGTCAGATTCATATTCTGCAGAAGTAAGATGTTGCATGACACCCACTCGGCCAGCCTTATCTTTCCACACAAATCTGAAGTTGTGGCTACTCAAAATGTTTCCATGCAAGTTCACAGCATCAGTTTTAGATATTATATGTGACAGATAACTGTTGTAAGTTACCCATTCAACAAACATATCTCCCTTTCTCTGTGTTTCTAGGCATGTTAGCACCATGACTCATGGCTGTGGTGTTCAGTGTGTCAGTGCCGGCTGTGTTGCAAGAGGAGATTGAATGCCTCTAAAATCTCAAGGTAAGACTTCCTTCTCCCCTCCTTTGACCTTGTGTGTGTGTGTGTGTGTGTGTGTGTGTGTGTGTGTGTGTGTGTGTGTGTGGGAGGTGGTAATACTGGAATTGATCCATCGCCTTGGACGGCTGCTCCCCATCTCATTTAATTGTCCCCAACTTCTCTTCACTCAACCCCAGATCTCATTCACGCCACACGTCTGAATGCAAAGACGTGCATTTGTGACTTTTATTCTTTATGGCAACATCTGCGTCCCACACTGAGGTGTGTTTTGTAGATGAAAAGGGGGGCTTTTGTCAGGAAGTCTAAAGGGAATACTGTTTCTTTAAGCTTAATTAGACAAATTGCTGTGAGGGTAAAAGCAAACAGTGGCAGCTGAACCGTCTGAATAAGCCATTGTTTGTGGATAATAAGGAGGGCTTGATGGCACACTGGAGATTCACAGAAAAGCCCAAAATACCATATGAACTAAGAAAACATTAGCTTGTGTGTAGTGTAAAGCTGAAGATGTGATTGGATTTTTCATACATGTGTCAGTATGTGGCGTGCTGCAGGCTGTGAACTTTAAAGTTGCTCTAAGTTAAAATAATTCAGCTTGAGGGTGTTTTCCCTGAGTCAGCGGCCAACCTTGACAATCCACCCGTCATGGTTTGAACCAGTGTGTCAGTGGGATGTGATCCACACAGGGACAATGGTTTAGTATGTATATAGGATCATTTCAAGAAGTAAGGTCAGTTTTAGTAATGTAATTAATGGTATTTCAATAATCTGATTGTATAATGATGATTTAACGATTCTGTATAGAAAGTTATGTACTTAGACTACACTGATGCTCAGGAGGAGATCTGACACATCCAATGTTGCAGGAGGAAGGTGCCAGAGGTGTAGCTCTCTACATATTAGATTTCTATAATAGTAACTACTAGAGGTATTCCTCCTAGGTAGGATATCAACAGATACAAAACTGAGCCAGATAAAACAAAGTGTGTGCGAATATCATAGAGGATGGAGGATGGAGGATGGAGTAGAAGATAGACTAGAGAATATGATATGTGTATTGTTCCTGTTAGGGCTCTGAGAAGCAAAGTGGTTGTTCAACTTCTCCTTTATAAATATCAGAATTAATTTGTAACTGTCCTGTCCTACTATGTGCTATTGCTCTGGGCCTGATGGTACTTTCCATTTCATTTTCTTATTTAGTTTACAAGACAGGAGGTTTGTCCTCAAATGTACAGTTGAATCTAATGTTTAAAGAAAAAGGCAATCAAACTTTAGGTCTTAGACAAGACTTAAAAAACCCTTCTTTTTTTAAAGCCTTGACTTTTTTAACGAACTGGCATTACAATAAGGGCTTTTTAATATATTCCTTCCTCATGGCTATTTTTTGGAGTGCCTGGATTGCCTTTTTGTTTATTCACTTGTTTTTCCTGTTTCAAAGAGCACCTGATACATCTTCTGATCTACGATTGAGTATTTAGAGCAACCGGTCATCTTCCTTTTCCTGAATCTAATCTTTCTCTTGACCGAATGTTGGAAGCACATCCTTGCACGATGTTGTGAAGTATTAGTCCCCCAAAGGCGTTCATTTGTTGTCTTTTAGCTGCTCTGACTGGGCTGTTGGTGCACTGTCACCAAAAGTATATAGACCCATGCTTTTTCTATACCTTTGCACTGGGGCAGTTTTTCATGGTTTGGGTCCTGTAGTTCCAGTTTAGTTCCCAATTCTCACACTACACGATACAATGATGTTTTAGACAATAGATGTGCTTCCAGCTTTGCTGTTTAGGTAACATCCTCTCCTCCTTTTATGACAATGCCTCCATGCACAAAGCTAAGATTCATAAAGAAATAATGGTTTGGTGTGGAAGAACTTGAGCGATCTCAACCCCAACCTCAACACCTTTGGGATGAGTTGGACCACCTGCAAACCATACTTTATTGCCCATTATCAGAGCACAATGTCACTGATCACTTTTGTGGCTGAATGGGAGGAAATTCCTGCAGCCACTCATTAAACCATCACTTAATGGATGTCCACTTACTTTTGTCCATGTAGTGTATCTGCAGTAGATTGCTCCGGAAAGTGTGACTTTACTGATAGATTATGTTTGCAAGATAACGGACAACATGCAGCACTATTGTTATGTGAAAGGACACACACACACACACACACACACACACACACACACACACACACACACAAATGAATTCACACATGCACTGTATATGCACATTATCCTACACAACGCTCACTGCTTAAATGGAAAGGCCAGTGGAGCAGCCATCGGCGCCTGTCACTGTGACGAGCAGCAACAAGTGTCACTGCTAATGGCTTCTGACGCTGCCATGACTGTGTTTGTGTGTGTGTGTGTGTTTGTGTGTGTGTGTGCACACTCATTGACCCTCTATTCACCAGGATATGAATTTAATAAACACAGCACAGTGCATACTCCACAGCTGCTAAAGAGATACATCTGTTTGTGCTTACACTAGAGAGAGGGAGAGAGTAACGGGTGGAGCTTTCCTCTCATTGTGGCTATCTCGCCAAACAGGAAGTTAACGTTAGAGAGAAAGGAGGAAGTCCTTGTTTACCAGATCTCACACAGAGATACTTGAATACATAGTTGGTACACACACACTGCACTCAGCATGCAAGCAAGTTATATGAATGAGGTGGATGCAGGGAAATGTAAAGGTCCAGTATGTAACATTTAGGAGGACCTATTGGCAGAAATTGAATATAATATTCATAGGTATGTTTTCATTAGTATATAATCACCTGAAAATAAGAATCTGCCTTCGTTACCTTCAAATGAACCGTTTTTATTTACATACACCGCAGGTCACCTTCTGTGGTGGCCACCATGTTAAACCCGCAGGTTAAACTGTGTGTGTATGTGTATGCTAACATGATGCTGTTGCATCTATTTAAGGTGTGACTCTCGCCTGCTACAGGTGGAGTTTCTCATCTAAAATCAAAATGCTTCTGTCCTATAACTAACTGTTGGGTGCTCTTTAGCTTCTCTGCTACTGACAGTTCAGTCTCACTTACCACCAGTACTGCTGACTTTGTGTGATCGTGTAACTAATATGCTAATTCTGCTCAGTCTCTGTGCCGATCCCTCTATTGTGCAGCACATCACTGTCAAAAATGGGGGGGGGGAATTAATGGATTAGATATTTTGAGCTGCCTTCAGTGGCCTAGAATCTTCTCATGTCAGTCTGGCTGGCAGCGCTGCTTCTCCAAGTCTAGCAAGGTGTCAATACAGTGTACAAATATACAATGTAAATAGAATTTCTTTTTGGTAACACCCTGAGAGCATGCAACAATTTTACACAGTGATCCAAGAATACTATTTTCAAATATTAAATTTAAGGTTCTTCTATTTTCTTCTCTTATTGGCCACAGGTTCCAGTCTATCTTCCTTTACTAATCAGACGTACTATATTCCCTGCACTCTCACAATTCTGCAAAACTGCACTACTAGGTAACATGGGCTACGTATTCCTGGTGGTCACACAGGATAAAAGCATCACACCATTTCTAATATTAATCTTTGTCTGTAAATTCATTCACAGTTGATGTTTTTTTCTGTCTTTCTCTGTCTCTGCTCCCCCACATCTCCCTCCCCTCCAGCACTCCATTCATCATGTAATTGGGTGGATTATGACTAATACCAAACCCTCCGGCTGTTTGCGGGCTGTCAAGCAGCTTTTACACAGATTATAAATTGCTTAATATATTTGGATGCTTGTGTGTTTGTGTGTGTTCAGTCAAGACTCCGCGTTCATCCACCTTTGATCTCTAAACTGTCAAATCGGGTTAGGCAGCGCCAGACATCGATATTTATCGAAGTGGAGCATTAAAACCCATATGGCACTACTTGAGCAAATCAGTAGCTTGTAATGATGAAAACAAGCACATTTATGTCTCAACACTCACAGAGAAGATCGGAGGCAACAGCTGAAGTTGTCAGGAGAAAGTGTATTGATGTTGACAACCATAATTAGAAGTAATTAATTGATCAGGCGCTCTTTCATCTTTGAGAAAGCGTTCCCTAATACAGCTAAATGATGTACAAACACACTTTCTCCCTGTCTTTCACCCATCTCAAAGAGGTAGATCTAAGCTTTTACAATTCTTCTTTGTGCTTTGGTTTAGCACCTACGCATCCAACACACACACACACACACACACACACACACACTGAGAACCCTTCACTGAAGATCTTGGGTTAACAAACACTACACATGCTCCTAGGAGACCAAGGTTATATGGTGAGGAGGAGCTGCCCTGCCAAACAAAAGGACGCTGGGAGAAGTGTGGAACAAGATGAAAGCTTCACTGTTGGCATGGCAACCACCGGATGATCTGCATGGAGAGGTTTGATGTTTGACGTGTTGACGGTGCATTCTGGGTTAGAGAGAGGGAGAGGTGAAGAAAACCGGTTTGATCCAGCGCAGCTGCGTGAGAGCGCTGTTGTTTTATTGTTTTATTCTCTCTCCTCCTTTCATTAAGAGAGTGATGCTCACCATCAAACCTCTGCTCAGTGTTTCCTCTGATGCTGCTGGAGCTCATAATGCTGCCGGTCGATGTGCTCAGGCCCCGGAGCAGCTCACAGTTTGTGTGTCCACATGCGCATTTGGGGGTTTGAGTGTGTTGCTGTTACGTAAACGTATTGGACTGATGGGCATATTGACACACCACACATTAATATTGAGTATGAGGCAGCCAGTGTTGTTCAGTGTCAATATGATGCAGATCTCTAACTGGAACAGCTACATCAAAACAGGCCCCAGACATTCAACAGTTATTCACTTAGTCTCATTGAATAGGTGTGCTACTATATGTCATACATGAGAATTCACAGGACTTTTTACTAACTTTGGAGGAAACATTGCACACTTTTATTTTACATTAATATTCAGTGATATTGAGAAAGCGGATACAATTAGTCAGTTGACTAGTCAATCAACAGAATTGGCAGAAATCGATCAATGCAAAA